GCCGTGTCCGGCCGGTGGCTTTCGGCTTCCCCGGGAGCGCTGTGAGTGTTCGCGCTGGAGTGCAGAGCTCCTCATTCACAAGTCCTGAGTCAGGTCCAGCAGGCTTAAGGCGTTATTTCCTAATGTCAGTTTGCAAAAGGTAGTTATTTACCTTCTGGTTACAGATATTTCAGGCTTCAAAAGTATGAGGTTGCACCTTTATGTTTTTCTTAAGACGCCAATTAGGTTGCCTATTCAAAATACTGAAAGCGTTTCATGTGTACCTGCTTTTCGTTCAGTCTGACTCAACTGTGTGCAACTACTTGAAAGTAATAGAAAATGTTTGTTTGATGTCAAAGTTTTGGGTAGGTGAGGGTCTAGAAAGGTACATGTTCATCAGACCACTTATAATGCATTTTCTCATGCTTCTTAGTATAAATATCTTCCCTAGATGAAGGGTGTGGCATTATCCAGCAGTTTTGTCGTTTCTCCCTCTGTGGCTTAGGATGGGGTGTCCTGTCGCTGGGATAACTAAGCGCTGTTTCAGCCACTGTTATCCCATGCAGTGTTTCTGGGTGTTTATCCTCAACATATACAGCTGCAATTTTAAATACAACGTTTTAAGAAGGTTTCATACAAGTGTATGCATCTGCTCCGGAGGTTGAACCAGCTAGGGCGTTAACACTGTATTCCTTTATTTTTAGATGTGTGATGTTTCTCAGTTGTGCTTTTGTGATGACACGAAATGGCTCAGCCTGAAATGCCTGTCTTCCCCACCCCAATCCAAGCTCTAGGTGGGGAGCAGTCGGCTCCCCGACTCTTATATGCTTCCAGCATACCTAGTACATAAATACATTTGGGACACTTCTAAAATGCAGCAATAGCCGCTTAGCTTTGAAATCATGGCTGCTAAAGGAGGAAGAAGCAACAGTTTGTATTCTTGTGCTCTCTCCTCATCCCTACGCCCCTTGTAGCTGGATGCCTCTTGCACTCTTTAAGAAGTGGGAGATGTGGGATTGAATCCCTATTAGTCTAAAGAAGGCACTGAGCCCAGCCTCTTCTCTTTTCTGAGTGCTTTACCCCATCGGTTATCAGATAGGAAGATGGATACCTCTTATTCCTCCTCTAGACCTATTTTAAACATGAACCTTGTGTCCCATCCATTTATCTTCAGGGAAGGGCTCCAGGCTCTGGAGGTGCATGCTTACAGGTCCTGACTTAAGTGTGTTTTGGAAGGGAATGGGATTCAGACTTGTGCCTAAGTGATTAGGTGTAAGCGGTTCTTGCATTCTGAAGACCGTGTGTCCAATTAACTTCACAGCCTGGTCCTAAATCTGTTGAGACTGCCCTGCAGAGGGAGAAATCTGAGTGGGTGGAAAACTGCGTTGATCAGTTTATGATTCGGAACAAGAAATGTGATTATCCTTATCTTACACAGAGGAAGTACAAATAACACTTGGTCATAAACATTTCCAGTTTTATTATCTAGCCACGCAATTAATCTGTGTGAACTCCAGCGGCAGTGGATTTTATTGATGATTACATATCATGTGCAGTCATTTTTTCTTCCTTGTAAATACCATTCATTTTAACCTGTACATTCCTCTTAACACTGATTTTCTTGAATTTTAGGAGGTTTTCACAGTAAAGTCTTAAGTTTCACTGCTAGATGTACATATGCACAAAATAAAGTAGATTTACAGCAATACTTTTTCGTAATTCCTAATCATTTAAATGAAAGTAGCTGTTTAAATTATTTTTACTGGTAGGATTCGCTTCAATGCCATGTGGGATTCTTCAAATACTGATTCATATACTGTTTGAATCTTTAAAAATCTAGATTCTTTAAGAGATTAGAATCAGGATTGCATTTGTAAGTTTCCATGGCAAAAGAATATGTTTGTGTTGGACTGCTTTTTAATAGCATTTTTATGTAAATAATTGCATCTTGGCATGTTACAGGGTAAATTAATGATGCTGCTCCAAGTCCACCAGAGTCAACAAGTAGAGAGAAGTATATTGATTCACTGTACATAGAAAGGTCTGTCTATACAACTAAAAGGACTAAAAACTTCTCTTAAATAACTTATAGAAAGTTCAAACTTTTTCCCCTTCGTGTTCTTATGCTTATGGCAGCCTAACATAAAGTTGGCATTGTCACAGAACTGCAAAAACAGTTTCTATCATTTTTAGATGATAAAAATAATTGATGATTTAAATTCCAAGTATAGTGATGTAGTATATGCATATCTTTAATATATATTGAAATGAAAATATCTGGTTCTGAATGTTGTAATTCTCCCCTTCCCCCAAGTGACCAAACATTAGAAAAATGCATTAAATTATGAAAATCTGTAGTCAGCTATTAACCATCACATATAAGCTCAAGGGATTAGAAGAGATAAATCAATATTTTGAAAAATATAGACATACATTGTGCTGGATATGAAAATTAGG